TGAAATCTCTCAGAACAGCCTGATTTTTATTTATTTGTTTGTTTGTTTTTAATGTAGTTTTAGGAATCTACCTATAACTTTGTCAGGCTTTAAGATGTTTCAGGTTGGGTACTCAAAATTGAAGCATCTAAAATCAATAATCATTTTAGAAAATTTAGGTCTTGATACATAGGAATGGTATTGCTCGTATTTTATTGTTTTACAATGTGAGGTTCCTTTGAAATGGTTTCCCTGTAGAATGGGTACAGCACAGATAGCAGTTGCAGAAGTTTACTCCTTTTGATGTATTTTGATCTTGATTTAGGATTAGGAGTGACTGAATAATACAGATTTTAGAGCTTGTGACATCATCGTCTTCTCTAATAAGAAGGTAGACTGGTTCTGAATGTTCCTAATATTTGTGCTGCTGACGCCTGTCTCCTACAAACTAGACCTAAAATGAGAAATCCTGTTTTGCACAGAATGGTTGTCAGTGGATGATTACTTTTGTTGGGTGCCATATGTGAGCCTAGAAGTAGAAAGCTATGCAAGTTTTCTAATCACTTCTTTTAAGTGAGTGATGCTGAATATAAGTGTGCACTAAAATATGACTTCAGCTGCACACAATAATTATTTTGTGTCTTTATTTCTTGGGAGCAACTGAAAATATGTTTTTGTTCCAAACAGACCTCTCCCATTGTCACACATATTTACTGGAAATGAGCCAGCTGTTGCAGAGCATGGAAGTTCTCCACAGAACCTATTCAGCACCTGCTATAAATGTTATACAGGTCAGCTGTGAAAAATTATATCTGTAGAGGTGTTGATGCATTTCTTCTTGTCTTTAGTTTTATAACCCTCCTAATATGGTTCTCATTCCTGATGGTTTTTAAAGGGTGGATCTTTTGAAAGTCCAAAAAAGGAAAAAAGGACACACAGAAGATGGCGGTCCAGAGCTATTAGTAAAGATACTAAGGGAACGTTACAGGTAATTGAAATCTTCCCTTGTCCTAGTCCACCCTTCTCAAGTGTTAACTTATTGAGCCTTCCTTGGGCTAGAATTTGAATCCTACTTAGTCAAGTTATGGATAAAATTAGGTACCGGACCGTATGATTTATAATAAAAATAGATCAAAATATTGGCTTCTTCCTCAAGTTCACCCCTATGCAAATCCTACAGTAATGGTTAAGTTTCTGGAGCCATTGGATAGATGGATATATTGTTGGGTAGCTATATAATATGAAGCAGGGCTGTTCACCCCACATGGACTCCCTAGGGACCCCTCTAGTCCCCACTATTCCCACCTAAGGTAGAGACAGGAAACATGCCTCAGAGGGAGGGGACGGGGGGATCCTGAAAACCCTAGCAGCAGCAGGAATCATGGGAGGAACAGGGACTGGGTGTTTACCCCCAGTTGGGCCGCCCTGATCTAATGTACAATAGAGGGTATAGAACAGTGGTTCTCAAACTTTTTTCTTTTCGTGGACCGCTTGAAAATTGCTGAGGGTCTCAGTGGACCACTTAATAACCTTTTTTTTATTCTACAAATCAAAGCACACAACTTATATTTTAATATCAGTAGTCTTACCTTACAAGTACAGATATTCTTGATTGTTCTGTAACCTTTCTGTGGATCACCTAAATGGAACTCGTGGACCAGTGGTGGTCTGCAGACCACAGTTTGAGAACCGCTGGTATAGAGAAGTGTACACTTGGCTTCAAAAGAGGAGGGAGAGCTGTTACTGAGGTTGTACTGCAACTTTTATGCCTGCATGGGCCTGTAGCAAAACTGCTCCAAATTTAACATTGCTTCACTGAGGGTCAAAATTAGGGTGATTCCCCCCCACCCCACCCCCTTTACAGCTGTAACAGTTACAGCACAACAGCTGTTGGCCTCCTGAGTAGCAGCAGCAGCTCCTCCACTTCTTTTGAAACTGCTAAAAGCATATATTTGTCCATATCTGTAGGAGGGTCTCTCTAAACTTTGCCAGGCCAAAACTCATGCTTCATCTAATGTTTTACCAAATCTCTTTTAAGTTTGGAACTTGGAGCATGGCTATCTTCCCACTTCGTTTTGTGAAATGTGTGCTCCACATGGGAATCCGTTGCCACTCAGAAGCTTTTCTTCCATTGCTGTTGCCTAAGCCTTGCTTATAAGCTGTGGACAATGACTACAACAAAGAAAATATTACAGGTTCGCGTTCATGTCCTTCTCATAGGTGCCTTCAGTATTTTCTGCCCCACTGAGACTGCATGCTTCCAATCCAAATTTGTCTACAATAGATTTTGTGGAAGAGAAAAATTACTCTGATGGCTTGGAAACATCAGCGGAATTTTCTAAAATGCAAGAAGACTTGTGTCACGTTGCGCATAAAGGTAACTGAGATTTTCATGGGTGGTTTTGTGAAGTATCAGGTAAAATAATAAAGTACAACTTCTGAGCATGCTTTAGATTTAAGAGGAAAAATTTTAAGCCTTGGATAGTTCTTCCCATTCCTCACCCCCTCAACACATTGCACGTATTGAATCATGGAAGTCTTAGGTCACTAAACAGCCTTTTCCTTCAGAACTTCATATTTGAAATCCATATACAATTGGAGTCCTATCCAACTACATAAGATGCAGATTATACAGCTTCACATATAATATGTGCAGATGTATGCGGCATATATACTTTTAAAAAACAGAGTTCTTAATTTTAACTTAGAGAGAAACTAGTGGGTTGGGGGGAGCATTGTTACCTTAGTTTTGGTGTTTTTTGCTGCTAATTTACTCCAGTGGTCTCTGTTTAAGATTTCATCAGGGTATGAGCTTGAGGTGACAAACCAGGCTAAATGGAACTGTTATAATTTTAACTCACTGTTTTAATGATGGCCTGTGCTTACACTTTTAGATGCAGTAGATTTAGATTCTGGTAGAAGCCGTAGTTCTAAAATCAATTTCTATAGATTGCAGCAGCGTACTGTACTTTCCATGAGTCGCTTGTGTGATCATGCGTGCACATCTGCATTTAGCATAGTTCACTGTATGTCAGAGCTAACATTTGTTTGTGATGCAAGGGTTGCTATGGTAGTAACCTATTTTTAGAGAATACAGAAGAGTCCAATCACATGTAAAGCAGCCAGCAGACCAGCTTGAGCTGCCACTAGTCAGTCTTTTCTGCAAGAATATTTTATTAGCTATGCTTTGCTATCATGAAGGGGCCAGTGTCTCCCTTGCCCCTCAATCCATCATTGTACGCCATGTTTTTTAGGGTGAAAGGGTGGGATAAGAAGCCTACTTTTGCAGATGAGTCTTAAAGATTTTTTTTTTTAAGCATTGCACCTTTTAATAAGGACAGTTCATTAAAAATGCACTTTTATACAAAATAATCAGTGATGTCATTAAGTTTTTCTTACTTGCAAAAATGGTGGTATGATCATATAAAGAAACTCTTGACATAAAGTTCAAACACGGAGCTTGGCAACGTCAAATTTTGTAAAAAATGGTATAACTTTGAAAAGAAATGACCAATAGTAAAAATGGACTAAAATTTTTTTTAAAGACACTTCCTCCTCCAAATCCTCTTGGGAGAAATCTTACTCTTATAGAAGTTCAGGGTATCATTGGTATGTGTTTCACGGCACAACACATTAGTTAGGGAGCCTGAACTGACTGTTGTATCCTTTTATGAGGGTTAAATAATATTTTGTTAATGCTGCTTTATATTGCCCCCTGTTATGCTACTAAAAGGAATGAAAAATGGATGAGGAAAAATTGGGGTTTTATTATCTTTTGTGACAAATTTAAGCCAAATGTATCAGTAAAGTTGTACTCTTGCCGTAGTTTGAAAATGTGCTCATATACTTCTCAATATGTAACTTTTTTTTCTACATTAGATCATTAGAGCCTCTGTTGATGTCATTTCAAAATTTTGAAACGACAGATTTTAGTTTTGCATCTGGATAATAATATATTTTTAAGGGAGAGCTTTATTTTAGTATAACTCAACAATTATATACAGTTCTTTCCCCTTTGCTCTCAAGGTATTTTCTGTAACTATCACCGTATTTGTGGAAAAAAGAGATTTAGAGCTCTTGTGGGAACTATACTTAAAGTAGCTATAACGGAAAAACCTCTTTTGTACATTTTTCTACGCTATTCACAAATGGTAGAAATAACAAAAAATACCTCATGAAAATGACTTGGAATACTGATATTCTACGTGTGAGCTAAAGAATATTACCTGCTGTCATCTTTGAGAGTATTTAGTACAGTGTTTAAAACTTCACCCACTTCTATATGCCCTGTCATATTGTAATAAAGATATTAAGAAACATTCCATGTTGTTCATTGCAATTACAAGTAGTTCCTTATGGTCAAACGTTATTTTAATTAAGAGTAAATAAGAGTTGGATCTAATCTTGTGATCGGACTGTTCAGACAGCATCATCAATCTGTTTCTCCTGGACACGTGCTAATAATTATTCTTTTGCTTATTTCTCAATTCTGACATATCAGTGGGAGTTTATTGGTGGCTTCCAGTACACTTTTTATTGAGTGTGACATAAAAACTAATTGGATCTTTCCTTCAGCAATATTGATTTGTATTTAATAAGCTTAGTTTAATATTGATTTGTATTTAATAACCACAGTTCTCTGGTTCTAAAAGCTCCTAAAATTCTTGATCACTTTTGCAAATATTTACAGCAAGTCCCAACACTGAAGTCTAGGGGTGCGTTGGTAAAGATTTTTTGGTCTGATACCGATGGCCTATTATTAGCGAACCATATAAGCTTGCCGATTTTCTTTTTTTGGCTGATTTTATGCAGCCTGACAGCTTGGAGAGCAGCATCTGGCTGGTAGGTCTGTTGGGGAAAGGGACAAGGGGAGGGAAGGGGCATGGGGAGGCAGATTGAGGCCCCTATGATGAGAGAGGGAGTGGGGCAAGGGCAGGAGCTGCACAGCTGGAGTGGGGTGCCGGATGGAGCCACAAGCAGCAAATCCAGGGAGTGCAGGAGGGCAGGCAGCTTCTGCTGCTGCGCACACCCTGGAGGAGGCACAGGAGGCATGTGTCTGTGGATCTGTGTGCAAGGCAAGGGCAGGCTGGGGCCAGGGGCAGCGCTAGGCCCTTCCTGCTGTGGGGACAGAGCCAGTGTTGCACTCAGGGCAGGCAGTGGCAGCACTAGAAAAGGGGGCTATGGCTGGGCGGCTATGGGAGGGGCCCCCCTCCCAGCACCACTGCCATCCACCCCAAGCACAGCCTCAGCCTAGTCCTCTCTACCACAAGGAGAAGCCTGGTGCCATCCCTGACCACAGCCTGCAGCGAGCAGCCCACCCTCTCCCTGTGCACAGATCCAGGGGACACATGCCCCCTGTACCTCCCCCAGGGTGCACGCAGCAGCAGGAGCCACCCCCGCTCATTGTCCCCACCCTCCCACACCCCCCTGGACAATCTGTTTGCAGCTCCAATTCTGTGCCCCATCCTGGCTGTGTACCCCCAGCCCCACTCCCTCCCTCATCACAGAGGCTTCAATCTGCCCTCCCATGTCCCTCCCCACCCCCTTTCTACCTCCACAGACTTACCAGCCAGATGCTGCTCTCCAAGCTGCCAGGCTGCACTCCTGGGTGCATGCATGTCCATCCCTGGCAGCTCCCACTGTATCACCATCAGCATCAGCTGCTGCAGTGGCATGGTGCCCTCACCTGTGGCTGCTACTGCCACCATGTGAGGCTGTTGGTGCTGCTATGGCAAAGTCTCCCTAGAATTTGCCATTCAAGCAGTGCATCTACATTGGAGTCTGAGACTGTTGCACTCACCCGCTTCTAGCCATGCTGCTGCATTGAGGCATTGTCTGCACTGCAAGAATTAACCTGGCTCTTATTTGGGTGATACTTTTTTACCTGGCTCCAACCACTTGCAAAAATCTGACATGAATTTAGTAGTGATTTCAGATGAGTCTAGCTGGCCCATCATGGCTATAGGCCAGAGCTGAAGTGAAATTTTCACTCAGGGTGGTATCCCCCCTGCTTTGCAGTAAGGACACAGGCAAGGCACTCAAGTGCTGAAAATTGTCCTGTGCTTTCCTGCAATTCCTTGCGTTCCCAGAAGGACACATTCTCCCACGAATTACTTGGAAAGAATTCATAGATTGTTAGGGGCTGGAAGAGACCTTGCAGATCATTGGGTCCAGCCCCCCTGCTCAAGGCAGGAAGACTTCTGGGGTTAGGTGACCCCAACAAGGTGACTATCTAGTCTTGTTTTGAAAACCTCCAGTGTAGGTGACTGCACCATCTCTGGAGGGAGTTTTTTCCACAATTTGGACACCTTGACTGAATGAGTTTTTCCTGGTATCAAGCCTGAAGTGGCCTTCTAGGAGTTTCTGTCCATTGGTCCTGGTCTGCCCCAAGGGTGCCCTGCAATTGCAGGGTGGCTTGACATATACTGCAGTCTCCTAAGAACCTTAGGATATTCCTTCAGAAGATTTCATAGAGTCATAGAAAATTAGGGTTGGAAAGGACCTCAGGAGGTCATCTAGTTCAACCCCCTGCTCAAAGCAGAACCATCCACAACTAGATCATCCCAGCCAAAACTTTGTCTAGGTGGGTCTTAAAAACCTCCAAGGATGGAGATTCCACAACCTCTCTAGGTAACCTGCTCCAGTGTTTTACTACCATCCTAGTGAGAAATATTTTCCTAATATCTAACCTAGACTTCACTTGCCGCAACTTGATTATTTTTTTTTTAACTGAAAATTTTACTACAGTATTTACTCGAATCTAAGATGACCCCCCCAATAATTAGATTCTATACATAGAAAATGTATACATTTGTTTATATTTCTCCACGTATAGAATATAATCATTGCAGGTTGTCTTTAATTCAGACTTCCCACTGTGCGGGGGCAGTCTGAATTATGGTATGGGGAGGTCAAGCAGCTTGCCCCCTGCTTGTGCTTGTCCCCCTGCCTGCCAAGTCCCTGCTTCCCTCCCTAGTCATGTTAAACAGGGGGAAAAAAACTTGTCTTAGAATCACATAAATATGGTCATTCATAAAATGAAACTAAGGAAGAGAACCAAATTAAGAATATGTGTAGTTGCACTACTGCCATTTATAATATAGACATGAAAATCACACTTTGAAAAAAAGTACAGGTAAATTATTCTAGATTCATCCTAGCTAGGATTGTTTAGCTTTTCCTATTAAAAAAGCTAAGTCTTAATTGTGAATAGCAGTGCTCATCTTTAATACTCTAGCTAAACTACTAGATTCACAATTTTGTTTCTTTCATCATATTCATATCATGCTGCACTGAAACGGAAATGTTTCACAACTTGCTCTACAACTGGGAGCTCTTTTGTAACTGACTCTTAAACATTTATTGCAGTGTACTTCACCTTAAGGTCAGCTTTTAGTACAATATCAACTGAAAGAGAAAAGCTAAAGCAGATGTTGGAACAAGATGCATCCTCGTCTCCATCTGCACAAATAGCTGGACTGAAGAATGCCTTATCATCTGTAAGTTGCGTGATTTTGGTGAAGTTTGCTGGTGTTAGTTGTAATAGTTAATCAGATTTTTCATCAGTATCTTGGGCTACATTTAAATCTAATTCATATTAAAAGCAAAGTAAATGATGTTTGGTAGTCTCTTTTTTTTCCTATACCTTAAAATTGTGCATGTGCCTCTCAAAATGACAACAGATTAATATATATTTTGTTTTATTAAATATTGGAAGTGTTATTGTCAACATTTAATTCAGTATTCAATGTCACTGCTTTCACTAACAAATCAAATAAATTTTGCACTTGGCAGTAAACTAGGGTGACTGCATTTGACAGTAAACAGTACCATATGACTGTTGGGAATTTCGTGGTCATAGCTGTGATATTATGAAGCAGTGATTTGCAGGAGTGTGACACCATAAAGAAGCTGTCAAATTCTAGATCACTTTATAATGCCTTTTATGTTTACCACTAAGGAGTGTGTATGCATGTGTGTGTGCGTTCGTGCAACATTCAGACATTTCATAATGTGCACTGGTTGAAGATCACATCTTGGGTTGTTGAGTGCTTGTAGTTGTCCCTCCTGTTTGAAGCAAACCATCGGAGGCTCAGACGTTGGTCTGTGGTGCTGCAAAATAGATTTGAAATGTAGCTGAAAGAACAGTTCTTCTTTTCCAACACAGTTATAGTTTTGCATTGATCTATTTTCTTAGATATCTTTAGTTTATTGAGTAAGAGAACAAGGGTGCTCAATAGGCCTGTGTGAAACAGTGAGTATTCACTTTGAATTCGGATTCAGCCGATTTTTGGAAGGACAGTTATTTGATTCAGAGATTCAAATTGTTGTCCTAATTCAATTGGGCCGAATCTGAGCCGAAGATTTGGCACCACTTCAGAGATTCAGCCATAGGCTAAACAAGCAGCAGTCCTCACCACACTGGTCACAGCTGCCTCCAGCTAGTAAGTCTGTTATGGCGGG